ATGATTCCAGATCAAAATGGTTATTGGTTGCGATGTACTTCGCGGTGGTTTCGATAAACTTCCATTGCGGTGGTTGATCAAGCGCACACCAGGCAAAAATGATAATATGGTCAAATTGTTCTTTCCACTTTCCAATATATTTTATACATGATTCTAAGAAAGAAATGAATAAAATCTTTTAAATTGAAAATAAATCTAAATTAATATTCGAACCATAGAATTGACGTGAGAGATCTTACATCTCTTCTTTGGCACTCTTTCGTCAACAACAGAAATATGTTCCATTTCCTTTTGCACTGTAGCGGACAAAAATGCTTCTTTTTTCTGAGATTCGAGCGATTGGACAAAAGAATTGAGTGCAWGCCCAACTTCCATTGCATTAATATTGTCGCTTTCCACTGCTTTAACTGTTCTGTTGAAAATAGATGCCTACATAAGAAATTAAAAAGAAAGTTATTGGTRCYTSACACATTTCATTCCCATTAACCGATACTTACTCGATCACGAAGGAAAAGCAGCCACATCTTGGCCCTTGGATCTTCAAAAAATAGTAGCAAAGAATTTGGGGTGTTGGGATCTCCCAAAAAATACTCCTTAAGACCATCAAAAATTCTTAATATTTCGACTTAAACATTCGACTGATGACAACAAGCCTAGGAAACGAGTTTTGCTGTAACCTATCAGTTTTTTATATTCCACATCCACGGATTCACAAAATTTTTTCAATTTTGCGACACGCACGGTGAACAAATAGAAATGTGAAGAAATTTTGACAACAATCATCTCCATATCAAAAGGCATTTTGTCGCAAGCTTTTTTTAAAGTATTGTGAACAATATGCGCTGCACATCCAACGCCAATCAATCCAGGATAAAGCTGCTTCAGTTTGTAGAACGCATTATTTGTGCCGGTTCGATTAACGTTGCCAAAATTACATGCCGCGTTATCTCCACAAAACGCATMTAGTTTCTTATTTATGTTCAATTTGTTCATAGCGCTATTCAGCAAATTTACAATTATTTCGGAACTTTCTCCATGTGCATCTACCAAGTCTATATTTWTCACTTTGACGCCATCCTTTTCCGAAAAAAAGCGAACTAATATCGGAAACATTTTTGTGCTGCCATGATTAGAGGCGTCCGTCAATATAGTGAAGAAATGGCAGTCATTTAAGTCTTTCTGGAGCTCTTGCAATACGAACCGTGCGAACACTCCGGGTGCTATGGCTTCACATTTCGTTCGCGCACAAGAAAATTTGGACATTGCGAAACAACTCCGGATGATTTTGGAAGCGCAAWCGGCCGAGCGAAAACTGTGATTAGAACTTATCACATGAAATGCCCAAACGCCTTCACACGCCGCGATATGGGCATCTGTTCCGGTCAAAGTAGAACTTTTTAAATATCTATTGAGTGTGTGGCTGGACGTGGCAGCGTGCAATGCATTTTAGTGATTTTTTGATTTAATATGCGACTCAATATCTCGGCGAMCACTATGCATAATAATAAAACCCGTGTTGCACACTTCGCAAAGGACATCACTTTCGGTCTTCGCTTTCTTAATAAACGAAAATTCTTYGCGCAATTATTCGTAAAATATATTTACTCTACGTTTTCGCGACATTTTAAAAAAATAATACAACGTACACACAATAGCGTCGCTTCCACAATATCAYCTGTCAGCATAAGTTCCACAAATTGTTGGTAGAAAATACATAAATAAATGTAAATAAGAAGAGCTTTAACATATTTAGTTTCTCTTTAACACTAACAAATACAATAAAAACATTCCACAAACGGCGTTGCCATAATGGCGAGTTTAAGATAGCTAAAGCTGCGTGAATATCTTTAATTTGCGTTAGGGGTATTCATTCTATCGTCACGGGTGGGACACAATCGTATAGCAATTTTTTGTTGTTTTAACGCAAATTACGTACATCAATATTCTCCGTTTCAATTTACGTACAYTTTCGTGATTTTCGCTAAAGCTTCGGTACACGGTACATGGCTCCAAATTTACGTACTGTACGTGTCATTTACGTACAGGTGGTCAGCATATTTATACCGCATAAGTATATGTTAATGTCAATATGTTAGTTACCTTGATAAAATTGAGAGGGCGTATTTTACTCATAACAGTGTATCTATGTATCTTAAATGGATAAAATTGGGCAAAAATTTGACCTAGCTCCCATATAACTAATATCAGGATTTTCGAACACCCGGCTGACTCTTTTACCATATGATTGGTAATGGTATGTGAGGAAACTTGATGAAACCTAGGGAAAATCCTTTTAGTYTGCGGCCTTTTAGCTGCATTTGGTATTGACAAAAAGTAGATAAAATCGGATCTGTACTATCTGTTTTATGTTCAAACTTTCTAAGTAGTTCAAATTGTGGTTCGGCTCAGAGCTTCATTAGTTCGTTTGAAACAAAAAACACCAAGATGTGACGTCATTAACGGAAGATGAGATTGATACAAATATATTTTATGCTTATTATTTTAATTTTATTTGTTCTCTCTGATTTAAAATAATATTTATATTTTTATAAAGAAAAATAAAATAATAATAATAAACCAATTACAATTAACCATTAAACAAAGTAGATTTTAGTTTCCATTTGACTTAAGAATCAAAAGAAAGCATCACGTGGCTCTCGTATAAGTGGCACCTTGACATCTCCGTCCTGCACGGGTGGGCTAACATCGTCATCTGAGGCAACAGCTGAAATTAAATTTAAATAAATGTTTTTTTTAAGAAAAAAAAAAAATGAAGAAAATAGCATCGGACTTATAAGAAAGTGGGAACAAAGAGCTGCGAGATATTTGTACGTGTGCTTCATTTTCGTTTTCATCAAATTTGGATGGTCTAGCTGTTGAGCATACGAACTTCAAATTCAACACACAAATAGACATTATATGACACTATATTCATAGACCACTAAAATATCCAGTTATACTGAATGGATCAACTAATTTTAAATAAAAGGAATTGAAAGTAATAACTTTAAGTAAGTATGTAGATTATAGTAGTTACGCACAAGCACCTGGTTGAKGGCCTGGAGTTCTTGGAAGGCCTGGAGGACTTGGAGAGCCATGAGAACCTGGAAAGCCTGGGGGTTCTGGAGGGCCTAGAGAACCTGGAGGGTCCTGAGGAATTGTAGAATTTGACGGTGTTGGTTCCTCAGTGGCAATCTGCGCTGTAAAGTCAATGAGAAATTCGATACAGCACTATTAAACATTAAATTTTTAAGACAATTTACCTTGCGCATTTGCGGCTGGTGGAAGGACCAAAAGGACCAACACGGCAAAAATTGTTAGCAGATAGAGTTTCATAGCTAAACTTGTTTTTCTATAGAAAACTTTGAGAATCATTTACTAAATATGAGTATTTATATACATTTCCGTTACAATTTCCACTGTATGAGTCACTCAATACCGTTACTATAATCAATCATTCGAATGATAAATGTGACACTTTATGAGTTAGAAAATATTGGAATTTCCCAAGAAAGTCATTACGCATTTTCTAAAAAACTTCACTAAAAGCATTTATAATTGTCGGTAAAAAAGTATTACAAATATATATAATATAATATACATAYATAATCAGTGCTTTGGAACGTTWACAAAATTTCAGAATACCAGGCCTAAATCGACTCAGCTCACCCAGAGAACTTAAAACATGTTTTAAGTGCTCTGTTTTAAGTTCTCTGGTCCGAGGCTTCTTCCCCGAGTTCAACAACAGTTGTGGCAACTCATTATACCTAGTTCAGTGTAAAATTGTGCAAAGCAACGAGAGTATAAGAATTGATGCTTGCTATGGCTGTGCAGCAGCCGGTAGGCGCGACAATTGTAACTGAACTTGCRATCAAGAAGAAGCATATTATAAACAAAGTGCGTGTATTTTTATTTATTCACTTATTAATAAATTTAATACAAAAATACAATGCAAGACGGTGATGAGCTTACCAATAAWACAAATTTAGTCTGTAAAGTTTGCGGGGAGCGCCAATTTACATTGCGAGAAGGTTTCTTTTACTGYCAAGAATGTGGTACGAAACAGGAACAAGTGCGTGCCGTGGAAATAGAGCAAGATGAAGATTTTTTAGAAGGGAAGCGACAGAAGAAGATAAAACTACAAACACTCAAAGCAGAAAAACGTAAATATTTCCTTTAATAAAAGTCAAATATTTACTTTTAACGTCTTTAATTTACATGTAACAGCAAATCTCACATCCTGGGAATGCTATAATTATATACTGCGTGGACTTGTCAATGATCTGTTATCATTCGGCGCCAAAGAAGAGTTAAAATTGATGACACTTCAGCTGTGGGCAGCTTACCTGCGACGAAATGAAGTGGCATTTTTTAGTAGAAAACGTGTTGAGTTGCCGAAATTAGGCGTACGATATTTGCAGAGGTTAGTACATTGAGTTAAGTCTTTAAAGGACAACTCATAATCTCTATTGATACACTGTGGAACTGATACTAATGTGTACGTAGTTTTTGTATGATCTTTTCATTTCAAAACCAATTGAAATAATACTTATATTTATCTTTCAGAGATGCATCTGCTCTTTATAACCATGCACTACAACGTCGCACAATCAAACGAAAACGTCGTAGAACTGACGATTCGGGCACATCCGTGGTAAGCAGTGATTCGGTAAGCACGCGAGAATTCCGCAAAAATCGGCGAAAATTAGATGAGTCCTCTTACAGTCTGCATTCATCCATGAATTCCACCGATGTATCGCTAACTTCACGGTCTTCGGCGAATACTTCCAGCACTGGGACAACAGGTCGTGCTATAAAATTACAATTTTCGGCGCGTGCTCGAAAACAACTTAAAAAAATGATGCCAGCAAAGCACATTGAAAAACACGCCTTAGATTCGGAGGGAAATTTGAAATGTCACAATGTAAAACCTCTGGCGAGATCAATGAGTCGTACAGATCATGCGCTACTCACAATGAATACACGACAAATATTTACCATATTAGCCATAGCGCTGAATTTGATCGGTGATGACATACAATTATGCGATTTGGTGCGCTTCATAGACGAGGAGCACGTGAGCACAAAAAATGTGCTACCGTACTTTCCAGAGAACATCGCGCCACATTGCAAGAAAATGTTGCAAGAAATTGAATTTTATAAATTTCCTACGAAGTACACTGATAAGGTGTGCAAATTAAATATTTATTTTACACAYAATATTTTATAAATATTTTGTTATTGTTACAGGCTTTACGAGACCATATTGAGTTGCTTTCAAAATTTATAAATATAAAGTCGTACAATCAGCCAGATCTAATAAAACTGACTGAACGTTATGCAACTGAACTAAATCTACCGTCGGATATAACAGCCTATGTAGAGCGTTTGATCAACTTACTGCCACCACAAATGCGTACACGTGTCGATTATGTTTATCCAGCATATGAAGCACGCGCTATGGCTTATATAATATTGGTATTCAAATTGCTTTTTGGTCTCGATGGGCATACTGAGAAATTAATATCGCATGCCGCTAAAAAAACCAATCGGTGCCTGCAGAATCTATCTGAAGAAGGGCGTAGCGTAAATACCAGCATCACACCACCGCCGCTACTATTTGTATGGGAGGATTGGGTAGAGTTCATCGAAATGCGTAAGGTTATAGTTTCGCATTATAACTCGAATTTCTGTCGACAATTCAAACAATGTCAAAGCACTACACAACTGCTGGAGGAAATGGAAGAGGAACAGCACACAAAATTGGAACAAGCAGCGCTTACCGATGAAGGTGCCACAGCGGAAAGTGATTTCAAGGTCTCCACCATGCATCGCATATTCCAACAATTTTTGGATGAACTCAATACCGCAAATCCAACTGAACGTGGTGGAACGATAGTATTTCCACCCAGCCTAACACCAGCTCATTCATATTTCAAGCGCATTTTACTCTATTGTTCCAATGTTGGTGCGAACGCAGCCTTCAAGATACCAGAATTTATGCGTGTCGATCACATGCAACGCACTGTAGCGCCATATGTGCACTCAAAGGACCTGAAGGAATATTTTAAGGCGCACAAATGGCAGTTGATGGTGCAGCGTTTGGCGTGCACTAAAGAACGCAACTACATCGGCATATTTCGGCCATCGAACGACAATAAGGATCGTGTTAAGCATGATATTGGCAACAAGAAGGCTGATTTCAATATAAGCGAAGATAAGTGGCTGGCATCCATTGAGGAAGAGGAGCTCATTGAGGAGCTGGAATTCAAGACAGAATATGATAACTATGARAAGAGCTACGTGAAGAAGCTGCAGATAGATGCGCTAAAGCGACTGCAAGCTGTGCAAATAGCAGCCGTCGGTATACCTGCCGACAATGTAGAAGCTGCCACAATCAATAAACAGGTACATATAAAGATTTATAGAATGGTCTGATAAAAAATATTAATGAATGCGTTTTAGGTGCCGCGTATTGTTGATGCTGATCATGAGGATTCTATACCCGATCCCCCAGACGAAACGGTAGTGGCAAGCGATGACCTCGACGTATCTGCGTTGCATTCAATTAATGCCTTTAGTGAATGTGATATGGAACCGATCAAAAATTCAGATGAGCCATTAATTTTGCAACCACGTAGAGGCCTCAATCAAATTCGTCTATTCGATGGTCTCAGCGACGACGATGCCGACACGGTAGATGCAAATGAAATCGACAGCAATAATGCTCCCAGTGCAGAAGAGCGCACATGCACTTTCCTCACTACGAATATGGATTGTTGGACGTTGTTGGGCTATTCGCATAACCTCAATAGTTGTCAGAAAAAAATTTTGCAAAACAAGTTTTCTCGCTCATTTTTTTGGTTGCTCGAAACTTGCGCACAATCCATCAACCTCGATTGGTGCATATTATATGAGGAGCTACTCACACTTGAGCTAATGTTTGCATACGGCATTGAAGATTTGGAATATTTTCAAGATTGCATACGATTTAAGTACAATAATCCAATCAAAGATTTTAATATGATGATCAATTCATACAGAGAGCTGTGGTGAAAAATATTTGAGYTGGAGTTGGAGTTTGTGCGCAAACTTTTTCTGATAAAAATAGCAGTTATTATGTTTTATTTAATAAATAAGTTAATAATCAGTTTTTATTCAAAATAATAACTTTTAAAACCAAAATATATGATCATTAGTTTGTGCATTATATCATTTTGAGTGAAGCAACTTTTGTTATTGTGATAAAAAGCATTTTTGTGCGTTTGGAAAAATGTAGTTGAAACAAAAACTTGTTTTGATGACGAATTCCCGAATGAAAATCAACCATCGAGGATCAGTATGCTAAGTTTGGTGGTGAAGCCCCGAAGACGGTGAACGCAATGGACGCCCTAAAGCGGGTGTTACCAACGAAAACATCAAGAAAAACTCAACAAATAATTTAGAATCATCATAAAGTGAAGTTGTTCGAGATATGAAGCGCTCTAAAGATATCAAGTGAACGTGTGTAACATATCATTCACKATTATTTGGGTATTAGAAAGCTCTGTGCAAAATGAGTGCCACGCGAGCTCACTTTTGACTAAAAACCACTTCGATTTTAAGATTCGGAACAGTGTTTGGARATGTTGTGGCCATGGATGAAACATGACTATTATTACACTCCRAAATTCAGTCGATAGTCATCCGAGTGAACTGCACACGATGAGTCCACTCCAAAGCGTGGAAAAGCGCAGCAGTTGATTCGCAAAATTATGGCGTCTGCATTTTGAGATGCACATGGAATAATTTTTATTGACTACCTTGCTTCAAATTGTTTTCGCATCCACCGTATTCTCCAGAACTAGCCCCCCTGCGACTATTTCTCAAAAGAATGCTCGCTGAGAAGAAATTGCCGTGTATAYCACGCTTAAATAAATTAAAACAATTTTGCCAAAAAGTTGTGTGGTAGGCCAAGACTTTTTAATTGACTTGTTATATTCAGCCCACATTTAAGGGCATGTACATGGAATGTCCAGTCCGTAAATWAAGAAGATGTTGATGTCCTCGTAAGAGTAAAGGCTGAAATCACCGCCGTCCAGATGACCCCAACAGGGGTAATGCTCGAAATTTCTACGCAAAGATGCGGCCAATAACAAGAGGTTTCAAGACCAGAGCATATTCTTGTAGAACCCCATAGGTGATTTAGTGACTGATGCTCAGAGCATACTGAAATTATGGAGGGAAACTTCYCGACAGTTCTGAATGGCATTGAAAGCATAACGCCAGGAGAGGGTGAAACCGATTCCCAAATCAATGAAGATGGAGCAGACGTTCCATTGTCCGACCATGAAGAAGTTCTTATAGTAATTACCCTTCTGACAAACAACAGAGAGGTGGGGCCGATGGATTGCCCGYCGAGCTATTCAAATACTACGAACGAAWACGAAGAACTGAGAAAAAGCATGCATCAGCTTCTTTRTAGGATATCGCATATAAGGTTCAATCGAGCGTACTGTGTGAAAGATTAAAGTCCACCGTCAACAAACTTACTTTTGTTTTGTTTCACATTATATCGGTTTATGAATTGTCATATTTATCATTCGAATGATTGATTATGGTAACGGTGTTGAGCGACTCAATCAGCGGAAAACGCTGAACGTAAAGATATATAAATATTTAAGCTTGGTGAGTAGTTTCCAACTGTTTTAGCAAAGAAATTCTATCTGTTAATGATTTTTGACATAATGACCTTGCTGGCCTTAATGGCGGTTACACCGTCGGCAAATGCGCAAGAAAATGGTAAATTGACTTAAAATTTTAATTGCCATATATCTGCATATCTGTGTGCTTATATTCACATTATAGAGGAACCCCGAAGCCTTGGACCTGGGCCAATTAAATCTCCATCCTWCCGCCCATTAGCCTTCCTAAGACCAAATAGATGTGCGTGCTTATTGTAGATACGCTACTGGATCATGCTTGCTTATTAATTTTTATTTCTTTATCTTTAGCTATCGAGTTCAGTGTGGAAAATATTTCAGAGTGGAAATATTACTGAAGATGGAGCGTTCAATACTTCCTCCTGTAAGTATAATATTCGAGTTGCCTAACTACTATAATTTGCTTTCTGGAAGATTCTAATTTACAATTCCTATTACKTAATCTTTAGCTATCACGTTTGACATCTCAGGAAATTTGACTTCGACTGGTACTTTCCGGCCATTGGTTGGGACTTGGTTCCTACGTCGATGTTGAAAACGTCCGGTGTGTTTAAAGTGGGTACCTGGCGACGACAGTCTTACCCCACGCCGTTCAATGGCACAGCGGATCAAATCAATGCGTTGATCAGCACCCTAATCAATGAAAATGCCTCTGACAAAGAGTCGGTTGTTCCCGCATTTGCGTTGTAACCACAACCACCACGATACTCTCCGTGGGGTCAGTCCGCATGAGCAGGTTGGAGCGACCTCCAAGACCTCCTGCTCCCTGTGGTAGCAGAGTTAAGTCTTCGATCAGACTTCGTAACCGAAACTACTACCAGTTGAGTTTTCATACAGCTCTGGACTGGTGGCCAGGGGTTGAAACCCATGTGCACATCATATATACACATCACTCATCTAAAAACTAACCCTAATTTCCAGTTAAACGCCTTCACCGCTTAAACAACTCACGCGCAAACGATCTTAGCTATCGGACACTCTGCGACTATATGCACCTATCTACCTTCGCCTCATAAAAACAACGCGAACTATCAGATAGGTGCCTTTGATGCAAAAATGCATTCAGGGGCCCATACCTCGTAAGCAGAAAACCCAGACTCAGAAAAAATCTGAAGTCCTCCTCAACAAACCCAACGTCCTGAATGTACTCATAAGTCATTCGGCCAAATGTCTTGTCACCTATACTTGACCTTAGCATCTAGAAACCTTCTGCTCCCTAGATATCCCTCCCTCTCCACATCATAATCGAAAATCCAGTCACTCCGCAGCAATGATACACTTCAGTTCCTCTTAAYCTATAACGCTGAATTGAGAGGAGTTTTTGGTAGTCCAAGACTGTCGTGGCTACTTTCCACCATACAGCGGCTGTATTAGTAGCACAGGCCAACAGCAAGAGAGAAAAGTTCTCTCTCCACGAACAAAGACCAAACTCTAGATTTACTTGTCATCCCCTTCCTGCTACATGGTTTAGAGGCATAAAYGATGGCAACATCTGATCACGGACTCATCAGATGTTACGAGTTTCTGAGAGAAAGGTTTTGCGGAACATTTTTGGTGGCAAATTTAATATACCCTGTTGAGGATATAACAGTTTGTTGCATTCCATCAAGAAAGATAGAGGCAAGATTGTTTTTTTCTCAAGAATGATAGAAACAAGATTGGGTCATGGTGACGTAATGAGTTTATGAGAAGACGCAAAACAGAAAACTGTCAAACAGCATATAAATTGTAAGCAGTTCCTATGTGGCCTCTTCACACTCCTACCAAACCTATTACGTCACGCTTTTACTTATTTTGTCAAAGAATAAACCGCAAATAGTGACGATAAATACTTAGCGTAATTCCTATCTTAATCATGCTTGATTTTTCCAATCCAATCAAAGTAACCGAAATCTAAGTCTCAAAGAATTTGAATAATAATAGCTCTACATTGATACCGCGTAACCTTTCACAGGGCATTATATAATATTATACAATATTAAAAATGTCACGTTTATGCAATTATTCCAAATCAGTTACATTTTCATTAGCCAACTCGCCTTAATGAACTTGCCTCCTATTCACTTAGCCTTGTTCTCATTACCTAAACATTGCTAAATATATAAGTTCTTGAAGTCCATCAGCATTGTTATCAACAGAAATGATTGATTACCCGCTTGAACTATGCTGGGCTAATTACTATGGCTTGCTATATAAGCGCCGTTCAGTGCACTAAAATGTCAACAATATTTTGTGAAATAGTCGTTGAAGAGCATTTAAAACTCCAAAAATGAAGTCGTACTTAGTACTAGTTTGTAGCGCTCTTCTTGTTGGAGGGTTCTGTGTTGTGTTCGCTGCACCCAGCGGAAACACAAACGCTGGGGAACCTGCTCCGGGTCCTTTGATTTTCCCACCGTACAGCTTTAATCCTCGTAAGTCATAGTAAGGAATTTAAAATTAATTCAATTAAATAAAAATTAATTTTTACAGCAAGAATTCCAAAGTCAATTCCCAACGTAGAGGAAACGTCCGAAAGCATCAGCGAGTCGGCCTCGGACAGCGATTCGTCCTCGGACAGCGATTCGTCCTCTGACAGCGATAGTAGCAGTAGCGAGTCTTCATCGGAAGAAAATGATGGCGTAAAACCTGAAGGACGTACCTTGTTTCTCATCCTACGCCTATTGCAATTGCTCTCACAACAGAACTCCACCTCTTCAGGCTAAGCTATAGAGCGTGTGCTCTGCTGAAACTATTATTTTATATATTGTTCAGATATTTCAAGATTTTCACTTAATAAATTTTCACTAAATAATTATTATTGATGGCATGATAAAGTGAGAAAGTGTTATAATTTTYTTACGGTATGATAGTGTCTGAGATTAAATAACTCGATCTTGTTTTCAAAACTTTGAAATTGGGTTCATTTATCCTGAATGTATGTTAAATCAACCTATGAATTTCATATGGTTTGAATATGAAAAACTCACCTCTTTAAATCCGTTTTTTTCTGGAAACACCTTTTCTGAACTTTCTCTATTTTAGTAAACGGTAAGGACTTAGATTCTATATTTTTTTACAAAATCCACTCTGATATACTTATTTTTGATTGTGAAAACGTATTTCATCTTTTTCGTTAACTCGAAATTTACTAATCCTTTAGATGAGAGGTGATATCGGGAATGGCTGTGTTAATTGAAGTTAAGTTTTTATCACCGAAAAGGAAACCACGGAAACCCTATAAATTATGTATATAAATGATAATCGTGATGATCTGAGTCGATTCAGCCATACTTRKCTGCATATACGCGAATTAGTCTCTCAGTTTTTGAGATATTGATCAGACATTTCTCATACGTTCTTTTCTCCGTAAGAAGCTGCTCATTTGCCAGGAAAGCTGGTATCGAAAGCATCGATCAAAATCAAGTTCTTGTGCGGAAGAAAAAGAAGATAACGTTATTTGCTCCAAACATATATATAGCCGCTTTTATGTCGATAGCAAGCTTACAAGTGGGCGCAACTAAAGTTAAAATTCTCATAATTTAACGCGTTTTTTCAATAGGAACGCTACAAAAGTAGACTAATAGTCTCTTTTAAATCTTTTTACACTTCTCTTAAGTAAGGTTTGCCATTTCTTCATGGAAAGATATACGATTCAAGCATGAGTCGAAATTATTAAAATTTACTACCGAAATTCGGAGTCAGTGGCCTCAATTTTCAGAGCGCTACATTCATTTTATTTCCTTTTAATCTTCCTCTAAGATCAACAACTGAGCGTCWAGTAAAAAAATTTGAATCCATAGGCACAGTACAAAATGTTTCCATGCCAGTGAGTCAAATAATTGTCTGTGGTGTCGAGAATATGACTGCCACTAGCGCATGAATTGATAAAGGCCCAAATTAGTCTCTCTCAAATCGTTCTCAAGCGTAGGGCATCTTTGTGATTAACGCAAGAACTGAAGCCGCTTGAGCACCAGAATCGTCGTATGTTCGTGAATTGGGCTGCGCTACAACTTGAAAATGAACCGGAYTTTCATCGAAAAATCAACTCAGCCATAAGCTTCATTTCTGGTTGAATGGCTTCGTCAATAAGCAAGCAGCAATCAACACGTACGCAATGAGTCAGCATTGCATCCCGAAAAAATTACTGCTCGGTGCAGTTTATGGGTAGTCGGCGTGTAGGTATTGGCCGTGTCTCTTCCGTGATGATCAAGACCGGCATGTTACTGTGAATGGGAATCGCTACCGCTCAATTATAACCGAATAATGTTGGCCCGAATTGGATGATATGGACTTAGATAATGTCTAGACTTGGAATGTCACAATCAATTTATTRAAAACCAAGTTTGGTGAACGTGTTTTCTAATGAAATGGCCCAGTCAATTGGCCGCCTCGGTCGTGCGATTTGACGCCGTTATATTACATGGTACTTTCCAAAGTAAATATAACTTTTTGAATTTAGCGTCCCTGGTGACGCCATCTATATGTCGACTAGTGCGTTAGAATCTGCTATCTCTATCGATTGTCCAGTGAGAATTGCATGACATTTCATAGATTGGAAGTGAAGTTATTGCRTTTTAAGTGTCAGTATATTTGTGTTTTCGGTGCGCAAATGAACTTCGAACAAAGAGTCAATATTAAATTTWGTTTTAAAATTGGTAAAACKTTTACCGAAACGTTTCAATTGAATATCCCGTAGCAGAGTGCACGAACGGTTTCAACGCTTACAAAGTGGTCGTGAGGACATAAATGACAATCAACATGTGGGCCAATCAAAATCCGTGAGCACCGGAAATTTCATCGAAACTGTGCGTGMATTCATGAAAACTCAGCCGAAATCATCATTGAAATTCATGGAAATAGAATTGAACACCTCCAAAACATATGGGCTTACGAAATGTGTGTGTAYGGTTTGTTCCGCACAAATTGATTGAYGAYAAAAAATTGCTCAGAATCCAACATTCGTTGGATGAACCCCTCCCCGTATTCACCTGATATGGCACCGTGCGACTTCYTTCTTTTCGGAAAAATGCATTTGCCCATGAAAGGAAAGCGTTATGTAGACGTAGAGGCCATTCAAACGGCTTGCACAGGCATACGAGCTAAAACACTCGATCGACATGTTTTTGGACCGTGCAAAAAGCTGTATTGAAGCAGAAGGAAACTTTTTTGAATAAAATAAATTGATTTTGCCGAAAAAAAAACATTTGTTCTGTTTTTTATGACCAGTTTACTTTGGACAGCACCTTGTATAATACATTCAAGTTGAATATTTCTTCTAATATCTGCTTGTTGCCCCCTTTTTTTACAAGAGTTGTTAGTTGCATAGCATGCGTGGATTGCAGTTTGTCGCTTCTCGTTATCAAAGTAGACAAAATGTTAAAAGAAATTAGTTGATTAGAGTTTAAGCCATTTTGACAAATGCTACTACTTGATATTATAATTGTTGTTATGCATTATATTTTTATATTTATATCTTGAAATATTGTTCTGCGAAGATAATCGCAAATATTAAATGACTGAAATGTGATTTGTTTTAGAATTTTTGGACTCGAAACAGTATATTTTTTTCGAGTTTTTGGACTCGAAAAACACCTAAGCAACATCATAAGCTAAACTCATGATATATTGTAGCATACTTTTTAGCGACATCATCTAATTGCCTTCTTACTTTTTATAACATACTTTTTGGCGTTTAACCACACTTATTAAAAAACCGTTGCATTCGTTTATATAATATTTGTTTAATATTTTTAACTCTGATTAGCACTTTTGTATTTTTGTTACTCATTTCTACAGATCAGGTTACCTCTCTCTACATATACATACATACAGATTTTTATACAGATATTATATTTTAAAATATTTGCTTACTATGCTTTAATGCTTGCTTTGTWTTTTTATTTTATTTTATTTTTAATATTATGTTTTGCCTTCATTAAGTATTCAATTGCCTTGCTTTGACTCCGTTTTGTTATATTTATATAGTTATATATAACTGTTAAATACATACATAAGTATAAGCTAACGTTAAGTTCATATATCTGCAGCAACAACAATTCAGTGTCCACTATTACATTCATTATATACTACATTTGCCATTACTGTACACACATTACTATATTATTGACAAATATTACATACATACAGGTATGTTAGTATATAAGTATTAGTATATGTATGTATGTTGTTGTAAAATATGATTTCAGTACACATGCAAGGGAAAATGCTTCTAAAATTATATATATATTCACACGTAATTGAATGTAATTGGCAATAGATTTTGATTATTTGACATTTTAGTTTGTTTGTGTGTGTGTATGTGTGTATGCTCCCCAACTTAAGATTCAGCTTAGTGTTTTGCTAACATTTAGTAATAACACAAATGAAAACAGTTTGATCATTGCAACAAAGCGGCACATTTGAAAACCAGACGGCATGGAAACTTTGCCCTGCACCCAACCAATCTGGCTTTCAAATCAGCCAATCGTTCATTGCTGACTAGTAGTAAATACTAATAGTAATATAAATGTATATGTGTATATTTTGTTTTCAGTTGACTTTTCGCAATTTTTTTCTTCGTGGATCGCCACCAAAAGTCAAATGATGCCCGCATGTACATATGTTTGTGTTAGTGTTTTTTCATGATAGCTGTTGTTTTTGTTTTGGAGGTGCTTGCGTATGCGTACGGCATTTAACGGCGTCCCAGTCCGAAACCGTATCGGTGTGGTGGTGGCTCTTGCAGAGAGCGTTTGCCCAAACCAAAGCTGTAGGGTCGGTTGCGTTTCTCGTCTGAAATGTGAAATTAAAGCAATAAATATTTTTATAATATATCCTTAGTAACGCTATAAAATCTCTCTCACTCTGCGCACTCACCAAAAAATGCCATTTCGTTAGCGTTGCCATTCAACAAGTCATCGATGTACTGATCTTCATCATATTCACCACGCTTGCCCAAGCCAAACGAGTAGGGTCTGGCGCGTTTGCCCAGACCGAAATTGTAGACCGGTAGGCGTTTCATCCCGTTGCCGCCATTGGTGTATGTGTAGGCGCGACGTCCCAAGCCGAAAGCGTAACGTTCCATGCGTTTGTCATAGTTCGCGGCATCGCCCAAATCATTGTCTCGCATATCGTCATTGTCAATGTCGGTGAGTAGTGTGTTTGGTTGCTGTTGTTGTTGTGCCAAAACTATGCCCGTCGATTTTGCGTCAGCGTAAGCGATGAGCGCTAAAAAAGCGGCTGAAGTGGCGAGCAATAATGTCGGAGTATACAGGGTGCGTTGGATGATATGCTGGTGGGTGGACATCTTGCAAGCACTGATATGAATGCCTGTGTGACTGTGTTTATGTGTGTGCTTGCGTAGGTTGGTGACCGTTGTTTGTGGTGGCTATTTAAGCTGAAATATTGAGCGAGAAAAGGAGAGGATTAAAATTAAAATGAGTGAAACCGCGTGTGACATGTCGTATAAGTAACACTAAACTATTAAACTATTAAAACTATCTATTATTCGGGCTCTGCGCAGCCGAAGTAACCATTTGTTTCAGCCAAAGTAAAAGTAAAATTACACACGCTCTATTATTTTCATTGCGGTACAAAGTCACCCGGAAGTTCGAAAATCTTTATATTAAGTATACGGAGGCTAAGGGAAGTATTGGTCCGATTCAACCCATTTTTGACATACAGACATACCATTATAAGAGATGGATTATTCCTTAATTTCAATCATATATATCACACATTTTCGATGAAAAGTCAACTGTAGGTACCGGGGTCTAAATACCTCGGGGTTGGAACCGTTTTATTAGATTTTTTTTCATTACAGTGCACACACGAAGATATTATTCGTGCAAAGTTTTATTATTAACATATATTAATTGGTTCCCGAGACCTGAGATTTCATCAAAAAGTGGTACCACCTTGGTACTGCGATGTTCTGTACTAAAATACTGCTATATATATTAATTTAATGCTTAGTAATGACAATGGAAATCAAACACAAGTTTCAACGAGATACATATATCAATTTTTACTCAAGTTACAGCTTGCACGGACGGACGGACGGCAACTGTTTGCAAGAGTATAAAAATTATATAAAATACTTAGTGAGAATATAGGTATAAACGGTGTCGGTATTCGATTGAAACCATATTGAATAATAAAATAAAATTTTGTTTAAAAAATATGTGGTTTACTTTGAAAAGGTTAAACCTTTCTTAGAATGTGATAGCAATTTTTTACAAATTCTTTAAACCTTTTATTTTTGCTATCAATATCTTTTTTCAAACTACTTGTATTTATTAGTGGCTTCAACTTTTTCCACTCAGCATAAAATGCAAAATCGAATTGTAAAATGTAAGTTAAAAAAATATTCAATAAATTATAAGATAGACATTCCTCATTGTTGCTGATTGGCGCAATATGTCTAGGGGAGCAAGGCATACGCACACACTTATCGTATATGTACTAAACAAATGTGCATGATGTTGCAGCAGAAATCAATCAAAATGGAATTTTTACTTAAAGTCACATGACTAAGAGCAAATTCAATTTGTTTTGTTGCTGTAGTCGACTCTTCAGTGCTGACTGACTACTGCCTTATTAACTGGCACTAAATGGCAGTTCACTTCATTGTCACCATTTAAGTGCACATTGCTGCCAATGTTGATTGCCAGCGCGTCAACGGCGAAACGAGCGCTGCAAACACTGCGAAATGCTAGTAATGCGCCACACAGTGTGCTTAGTATGCATGTTAATGCCTGCAACATTTAGTCGAGTTAATTCGCTACTCAAAGTGGGTAAATATTTTCAAAGAATTAACAATTTTGCCATTCGCGCTCGTGGCATAGACGACAGTGCTTTAAAATGGCGAAATATTGTCGTGATAAGGGCTACATAAGTATTACATCACAGCGTTGGCGGTGACTTTTTGAGTAGTAAAGCGAGAGACATCTGCTTTTGTTTGCTGCTGTGAGTTGAAGTCAAGGCGAATACGCTAAATGGCGGTGCTGGTCACAGCGCGCTTATGTTAAGTATATAATGTCTGAATGTGTAAAGTTATTGGATTTTGTTAAGTGGTTAATAAGCTTACATTTCTGATATATTTTTACTTTTAAATTGTTATATAAGTGGATAATGGACTCAACTTCAGATTCTTAAAGCTGAGAAAGGCGTGAAATTTATATTCAGTATTGCAATTTTCAACTTTTCATTAAGAATTTCTAGGTTAAGTTCGGTTTCAGTAGCATAATCGTTGTTTCCGAAGTTAGCGATGGTATTCACCTTCTGAAGTATAATATTTTTAATTTTTTACTTAAATGTTGAAATGCTTTGGCATAAAATGTTTTTTTTTTTACACTTTCCGGTCGAAAGTGGAGACGAAAACTAAATTCTTAGCTTATGAGCGTGTGGAACGGGTATACAAAATTTCACGATTTTTCACCGGTTAAGAATATTGATCTGACGACAGCACAATTTTCATTTATTTGCGTATTTATGTATACGTTGTAGAAGAAGAAGAAGATAAAAAAAATAATGTTTAAATATAAATATTGCATATCTCAAATTTGAATTTCATTTCCTAAAGAATGCATAAAACAATATTGCGCCACTTGAAGAACGTTACCACGTCGCAAACAACAACACTCTTCACACCTGCCCAACTGTGTATACACAACTACACAAGCGCACATTTAACGCCACGAATGTTTGTACTTGTGATTTTCACGCAAAATATGTTGCATACCTCTAGGCGTCCGCGTTCGCAGCATACTTTGCGCGCTTTTTATGTGTCCATGCAGTTGTTGTTTGTGTTGTTTTGGCTGATAAGTAAAAAAATGTTGAAGGGTGTAAAGACAAGAAAAATTGCATCAAAGCGCAACAGAAAAAAACAACAAAAAACGAAAAATAAATAAATAATGAAAGCGACTGTCACGAAATATCTTTAAGGAGGGCGGAAGTTAATATTCGCTTTGGCATCAACGAAAATGTGAATGTAAATTTTCGTAGGTGTATGCGCCTGTATAACGCAATGAACGCCGTGTTTTACGATAAAATAATGATTCAAAGGAGACAAAGCAAGGGTGGAGCGAGGCGACTGACATTGCCAACTGAGCAGTAGAAGCTACAAAGTCAGTAAGGGTAAAAATGCAAACACTATTAGTTGACATAAAGATGCGAAAAACAAATTAATTTGCCACATGAGTGAATGTGAAAAGTGCAACGGCAGCAGTTGCGTGGAATGCAAAGTCGTGTCTCAAACTCATTGAAGGTTTGGCAGGTTTGATAGTGCACACTTACAAAGGCTTGCACACACACACAGTAGATAAATGTTTTTTATGTTTATTTTGGCTTCTGCTTGAATATTTCATACGTAGAAGTGACTGCAGTTACCTTCTCCAATCCAGTTGCCTCGAAATTCGTTTGCGTATTGAAAATTTACAAGTTCAGTTTACAGCCTCCACACATTCATTTCAGGTGGCAGTTAGTGTGAATCACAGAGCGTCATTTTATTAATTTCTTGACCCCATAATCCTCTGCATGCTGCCAAACAAATTTGTTGTGCGTCAAATTTACATTGCACGTGTCCTTCGACTATTTCGACCATAAGCACACTCTACTCAAATCTGTTGGGCAAAGTTTATTTTTTATGTGCTTTTTAAGTGAGTGAGAAGCATTTTGAGCAGCAGATTTTAACTGGCAATAATATTTATGTACAAAACGAGCGCCGAAGTGCCATTCATAACGTTAGATGCAGATAAACAATTTTTGAAGATTCTTACAAAATGTAGAACAAATTACCTTTTACGCGTTATTTGGGTGTTAAAATACCTAAGATTGATGGATATGACATAATCAAAAAAATATGTGAAATGGCACGCAACTAAGGAATAATTACTAAGTTTACGTGACCTGAGATGTATGTATTGCTTGCGAATGATAGTATACATATGTATATCACTTTCTACTAAAAGAGTTTAGCCTTGTAACAACTTCAAAAAGGAATATAGTAAGATATTAATACAGTAAGTAGTAGTAAGATATTAAGACAATATATGAATAAATAGATTTAAATATTAATCGAAATTTTTTGCACGCTTTCTCGACTGGATTCGAAGCCGAAAATTACCCAATTAGCGAAAAAGGCAAACTTGATGTCAAAGTCGCAGAAAAGGTGACAAATAATTTTTTCCCAACCAATTTCCCAACTTCAAGAACAAAACAAAGAATCTATCCTTATTTAATTCCATAACATCTCTAGAATATTTCCCTAAATCCTTAAGTTGATCTGAGCAATTGTTTTGAAGATAGTTGCTGATTTGCTAAGATTTCTCACGAACTATGCAACCTATCTTAATGAAATTTTACAAAGTAATTTATTGTATAATTAAAAAAAGAAACGTTAGAAAAAGTAAAAAAAAAAGTTTCACTAAAATTAGCATTTTTTCATAAAAACGTCTGCCAAAAACAAAGTTTTTGCTTTTTTTCCTGCGTTGAATATTTAGTTTATGATCCTAATTAAAGCACATATTTATTTCTTTTTATGATTTTGTAAAAAGTTCTGTTGTTAACGTGGATGCATTTTTTTTCTCGAGCGACTGTCGAAAATTTCGGTATACTATTATATCATATTATATCAATATTTTCCTTGGAAAATTTCAGAAAATATTTATAAAAAGATTGAGAAAATATTAAATTTTATTAATAAAAAAATATATATTCAAAATAGGTAATTTCCTGCTCTAGGAAATATATGTAAACGGTGGTAAAAAAAGATCCTCTACTGTTGTAGCGATTCCAGTCTTCTCCGTGGATGAAGTCTACACAAAACATTCTCAGTAGAAAATATTCTCCACACAGTGACTTACGGTCGAAAATATGAAACATATATTAGAGAAAGTTGATAGTGATCGGTCTACGAGTAATCACTCAAGAAAATTCCAAAAATTTTGTTTTGAGAAAAACGCGTTCACGGATAAACTGACGGAGCTGATGGAACTAAGCGGCTACATTTTAAGTCGACTGCAGCTATTTTTTGTTTTTACTTTTTTACGTGATGAAATAAAGTCGAGTGATCGAGGTTTCGAGTTCCCCTGCTCTTTTAAAGAAAAAACATAGAACATTCAAATTTAAGGGTAAATATTTCAATAATTTCGAAAGAATATTCTTTGGCATTTAATTTTTTAAGTTTATCTCTTTCATTGAGGCCACTTTTTGGCGACTTGTTAGAGCATTTCGACAGGTAACTGGCGAATGACACGCGAAATGTTTTGCTACCAGGTCTGAATCGATGCGGAATTTCCCGTATAGACTTTACACTTTACATATTCCTAAATGGAAAAGTCTAATGATCTTGGTAGCCAATCGACCGACCCAAAACGTGAAATTGTCTGCTCTACG